AAATAAAAATAAAATATTTACAAAATTTGAAAAAATTAAAATAAAAGATTTTCGGTATCGGTTTCGGCCTGACAATTTGTTTATTTCGGTTTCGTTTCCGTTTTTAAATTTCTATTTTGGTGCACCTCTACTTGTAAGGTATGCAGTTACTGGATTACTCTGATGGCTGACTTCTATAATTGTATGTGGCAAGCGAAGAATGGCCAAAAGTAAAAGATGCTCTTACATATCAATGAAATTGGAACTTCTTCAGGAAAGATCCCACAAGCTGTTGCTATATCTTGCTTGAAAGAAGTTTCACTATAAAACAGCAGAAGGAACGTACTTTACACACTAAAGTGCGTTCCTGCTTGAATTTAGCCATAGGCAGGCAGTCTTCCCTCCGAGAACCATGGGTAAAGGGATACCTGCCCATCTATAACCAACACAATTCCTGTTTCATTCTACAACAGACAGACCCCAGGTCTGCTGTAGTCCAAAACAGGAATTGTCTTGGGAGTGAATAGTGTATAAAGACTGTGGACTCCAGACCCAGATGGTTGGTAGCGTTTGTTCTTTAGTTGAGCTATGTCCATCTTTGAAAGATTACTGGAATTTGCTCAGATCTCCCTCAGCAATGCACATGCAACACTTCTGCTCTTCCACTCTACTGCATGGATTGGGGACCACTCACAGGGAGATTTTCCAAAAGCTGCAAATCTTAGTGAGAGACATTTTAACATTTCTAAACCTTTTACAAATGTATATAGATCCCAACCATTTTGTATGCTTTGCACTACACACAAACCTTCTTTATTCTTTTTCACATGACACGAACTGCCCTCTCCTCTCTATCACATACGCACATTCCTACTTTCTTTCTTGAAATCGTCTCATCTGTACCTATGTTCTGCTAAATTGCAACTTCATTTCCTTTTTTCCCTAAAAGTACATTTATGTAAAAATGTGTAAAAGATAAGAACTTGAGTGTGCTGGAATAAACTCAGACCAGCTTGTAACAAAACATTGGGTGTCTGTGCATGCTTGTTTTCTTTGTTTAACTGCAGTGATTTTATACAAACTAAATTGGGAGCCAATCAACTCTCACACACTTTTTGTGGTGTAAAGATAAAATACCATGTTATCTTTCTGTGGGCAAAAAATAGTCTCCAATAATTGCCTACAGTGCTCATTTTTTGTCAGGGGTGTATGGCTGGGCCGTGAGTGGAACCCCTTGGCATGGACAAAGAGTCCAAAAACGAGGTACAGAGGGGAAATCCAAAAGCGTAGTCAGATCCAAGTCCGGGTCGAGGCAGGCAGCTAGGTTCAGAAGCGAGAAGGCAGGCCGAAAGGTCGATAACAGGTGTTCAGGCAAGGGTTCAGGAAGCAACAGGTTTACACACAGGGAGCTGGCGATCACACCAAAGAGGTAGAATAACTCAGCAACAAGCCAAGACTCTGACTGGATTAAATACCCAGGGAAACCCAGGACGACCCCCTGGTTTCCGAAGTGACCAGGAAGCTTCCATAACCAGGAGCCAATAGCAGGGCTGACGGGGCAGATGGTGTGTGCTGGGAACCTCCCCCAGCCTGGCTAGCACCTGAAAACGCTAAGTGGTGCGGGACGCACGCGCCCCGTGCATGCGCGCGCAGCCTGTGTACCACGTGCCCGCCACGCATTTCGCGCATGCATGCCTGCGGCCCCAGGAGTCCTGCCAGGAGGAGGGGAACCCCTTGCCCTGCGCCACCGCTGGCGAGCCTGGTAAAGAGCGGCACCACTGGTTCCCTGACATTTTTGTCTACCGCTTCAGAAACAGCCCAATAATAAAGCAGAACTCCGGGTGTTCTTAACTCTTGCAGTGGGGCTACACACACTGCAAGAGTTAAGTGCTTGTTTTTGTTTAGGTGCTTAAAAAAAAAAAAAAATCCCAAAGGTTTATACTCCCCAGCACTGCGGAGCCAGCTGCCTACTACTCCAGTCCCTGAAGCCTGTCTCCTCCTCCACTGCAGTGACGCTATGTCCTAGTGATGCACCGATACCGTTTTTTCGGTATCAAGTACCAACATTTTTTTTTATGGTACTTGCCGATACCGAGTACCGATACCTGTGCTGTGTGCCCCTATTATCAGGAAGTTGGGTGGCTGATCATGACCCGCCACCCGGCTTCCTGATTGCCTGGGAAGCCAGTGTTCTATCGAAAGGACACCGGCTTCTCTTCCCAAGGCTGCTTGGCTTTCTGACCAATCAGGAAGCTGGGTGGCGGGTCATGAGGTGCCATCCGGCTTCCTGATTGGTCAGGAAGCCGGGCTGGTTAGGAACAAGTGAAACCGGCTTCCTGATTGGCCAGGCAGGTCATGACGTGCCGCCCAGGTGCCTTAATGGCTAGAAGCTGGCTTCACTTGTTGCTAGGCAGCATGGCTTCCTAACCAATCAGGAAGCCCAGGCGGCACGTAATGGCCCACCTCCTGATTGGTCAGGAAGCCAGGCTGGCTAGCAACAAGTGAAGCCAGCTTCTAGCCATTAAGGCACCTGGGCGGCACGTCATGACCTGCCTGGCCAATCAGGAAGCCGGTTTCACTTGTTCCTAACCAGCCCGGCTTCCTGACCAATCAGGAGGTGGGCCATTACGTGCCGCCTGGGCTTCCTGATTGGTTAGGAAGCCATGCTGCCTAGCAACAAGTGAAGCCAGCTTCCTAGCCAATCAAGAAGCCAGGAGGCAGGTCTGACTGGAAGTTCTGGTATCGGAGGTACGAGTTCTCGCCCACATATTTGGTGTCAGTGCATTCCTAGTATGTCCCTTGGTGTCCTCATGTCGCATAAACTGTGTATAGAACGTGATAACTCAAGGATCTTTAGACCACTGCAGCACTTGTCACATAACATAAAAATTCTGCTTTTTTTTTCTTCATGGGGAGTAAGGGAAACAACTGCTTAGGACAAATGTCCCCATTGGAAGTATCCCCCTCTATTCTTTTTGTAGTGACAACTCACTTAGTCATGCTGCCTTCCTAACAGGGACAAAGACAGCATAACAAAAAATAAATAAACAGATAAAAACAACAAAAAAAACCTCTACTTTCTGTCCAAAATAAGAAAAAAGTTTAGAAACACTTTACATCCTATTTTACGACATATATTACCTCCCACACTTCTCTATCTGATTGCTAGCATTAATAAAATGCCTTTTTTATTCACCTAAAGCCATGGTCAAGTGATGCGCTAGTCCTGAGTCTTCTGTTTACAGGAGGCAGGGTCCTCCTTGCGGTTGTCCATGTCACTGCCTGCATGACATGAGCATTTCCTATTGGCTGTCAAATGGCAGGGTCTTCAAAACTTCTAAGCTAAAATGCACATTGATCCAGAGGAGGAGTCTGCAGTGGTGACATCATCACAAGGGGCTGGCACAGCTACATCAGCAGTGCTGGATTAGCAGCCCCCACACCCGGAAGAGGTGCTGGTGAGGGACCTCCGTGGTGGACGTAGGTAAGTATACCTTTTTTCACAAGGTATGTGCAGACATAATCTCCCATTGTCACCTTTAGGTAGCCTGCCCTGCTGGAGTACATGCACTCCAAAAAATGTGAAAAAAACTTTTTATGAAAAACTTCTAACAATTAAAGCACTCTGTAACGCTTTAAAGACTTTCAAAGATCATTACTTTTAAAATCTCTATTCATTCCTATGAAGCTGCCATCTATAATGCCTTCCAAAAGTGGACAATCTCTTCATAGGAATGAATCTAGAGTCAAACCTTCACAAACCTACACACATCACATTTAGCACCTTATGAGTAAACACTAAGGCCCCATTCACACTGAGCGACATGAAAATCGCGCAATTTTCGCGATTAGCGATATTGAGCGACGTGTCGCGCGACTTTTTCCTGTTGGGCTGTATGCAATCATTGAAATGGATTGGAGAAGCTACATAGAGCGATATCGCGTGGAAATATGAGCGATATCGCTGCAAAAATCGCGTGATAAATTGCTTAGTGTGAATGGGGCCTTAGGGTCACCTTATTACCTTCAGTAGTAAAGAGTAAGCATTGAAGCTGTGAAATGAGCCATTGTATTTATGTGACGCTGACTGAACACTTAATAAAACCCCTTGATATTGCAAGACATCACTGAGCACTCCTCCTGTTTGTATGCATTTGATGTACTAAAAGTGCAGTCATCTGTCCATTCAGGCCAAAATAACACATTGAATAATAAATTAGTGACTTAGAAAGTAGTACATGTAGGAGATGAGTAGTACATGTAGAAAAGAAGGTGACGGTTATGATAGCAGGCAGTATAAGCAAAGGAGCATGGAGGGTGTGACGGCAGGCAGTATGTGCAGGGGAGGAGTATGAAGGGTAAGACGGTAGGCAGTATGTGTAGGAGAGAAGTATGGAGGGTGTGACAGCAGGCAGTATGTGCAGGGCAGGAGTATGAAGGGTAAGACGGTAGGCAGTATGTGTAGGAGAGAAGTATGGAGGGTATGACAGCGGACAGTATGTGTAGGAGAGAAGTACGGAGGGTACGATGGCAGGCAGTATGTTCAGAAGAGAAGTATGGAGGGTATGACGGTAGGCAGTATGTGTAGGAGAGAAGTACGGAGGGTACGATGGCAGGCAGTATGTTCAGAAGAGAAGTATGGAGGGTATGACGGTAAGCAGTATGTGTATGAGAGAAGTATGTAGGGTACGATGGCAGGTAGTATGTTCAGAAGAGAAGTATGGAGGGTATGACGGTAGGCAGTATGTGTGGGAGAGAAGTACGGAGGGTACGATGGCAGGCAGTATGTTCAGAAGAGAAGTATGGAGGGTATGACGGTAAGCAGTATGTGTATGAGAGAAGTATGTAGGGTACGATGGCAGGTAGTATGTTCAGAAGAGAAGTATGGAGGGTATGACGGTAGGCAGTATGTGTGGGAGAGAAGTACGGAGGGTATAATGGCAGGCAGTATGCGCAGGAGTGCAGTACAAAGGGTGTAACGGCAGGCAGTAAGTACAGAAAAAGAAAGGTCTGCAACTTACCATGTTTACCCCGAGAAATATCCACATACTGGCAGAGTCTAGGGTGAACAATGGTCTTGAGGATCTGAAAGCGCCCAAGGATTTTGATGGAGTTTGGGGTGAGTGGCAGGCCATTGCTCCCACAAACATCATGAGGCAGCGCGGATGCAAAAAAGGTGAAGGCTCCTATTTTGGCATCTTTCAGTGGAGGCATTATGGAGGATCGCTGAGGATGTAAAAGCTAAGGGAAAACAAAATATATTAGTATTAATGAGAAACAAGACAAGCATTGACAACATTTACAGTTATCAGAGTTATTCCGGCCAAAAAACTATATTTTGTCAGTGGCGCTGTCACCTAAGTCCTCCAATTGCTGCAGCCAATAGAAGGTAATGTTACTCTCTGTGTTGTATGTTTCATGTATTTTACATACTGAAGAAAGCAGCAGGGGTGACACACAGTGGCAATGTGACGCAGAGCTAGGAACTCCAGAGGTAACTACATTGTGGATGTTTGAGCTCTCACCCACTTGTAACTGACATATCATTTTTGATTGGAGCCCTTCAATAACGTCACATTTCTGTGTAGCAACAGAATGTGTTTCCACAGGGACATGTGTATAGTAAGAGTAGTACACTATTAGTATTGCACTGCAGGATCAGTGTTTCTTAGGCCACGTTCACATCTATCTGTGCCTGCTTTTGTTGCCTTTATACTGTGCTTTATGCATTTTCATTATGTGTTGCAGAGTGTTTTTGATGTGTTAACACACATTTTCATGTGCCATATCTTTTTTGGTTTGACCAATGAGGACTGGTATATTTGTATTGTATACAGTTCAGATATATGATATTGTTTATATTATTATATTATATTGTTTATATTATATATGCTATTTCCTCATAGTGATGGTGGAAGGAGTCATACAAGAGGAGAAAGCAGCCAACCTCCCTGATGAGAGTTTTTGTATCATACAGATTCTGCAGCAGCCATCTTAAAATGCAGTATACATGCATTTTGATGCGTTACCATAGACATCTTCATACAGCTTATGAAAATGCACCAAAAAATGGGCATGCCTCATTTTGCATAACATAGATGTGAACAGTCTCATCAGGTAACATAAGTTGTTCTGATGTGGATTCTGAAATGTGGAGGTGTAAACAGGGCTTAAAACCATAGATGTAGACCCACTGATGTGATTGCGATGGGTTGCTACGTGGCTGTGTAGTAAACACAGCCTAGTTAGTCCAAGTGAGAAATCAACGGCAAGTTATATAGCACATTTTCTCTATATTTCAAATCATATACTACCACAATGTAAGATGTAGCCTATAAACAATGTAGTTAAAGTATAGCAGAGTTCTATTTTTTATGGAATGAAATATAATACACATTTCCACCATTGACATCACCACCCCTTTCAGACCCTATGCAATATGACTGGCAGCACAGACTTGTATGGGGGGACTAGAGAGCATGTGAGGCAGGGGTCATTACACAGGCAAGCTGAGATAAAGAGAGCCCAATGTTAGTGTAAAATGAAAAAGAAACGACAATGAAGAATATATTTCTCTCGGCTTTAGTAAAGCTTATAGAAATGATGAAGAGCTACTGCAATTTGTTATACAGCCATTGTTATTTGTGTTTGCTGACATATTGGCAATAATTCTCTTCTTGTTCCACTAACCCTATTCACATTTGGTGCAGTCCCATAAGCTGCTTTTTGAGACTTAGCCGACATCGCCCGCAGCCATTCACATATCAATAGGCATTAAGCGTTTACCAGTGGAAGATTGCCCTTGGATGCAAACTGTTCACATAAGTTTCACTGAGCAATTTGCGAGACTGCCCCAAATGCGAATGGGGCCTCATGGTAATAAGTTTCTTATTTGGGTCCTTAGAATAAAACATTTAAAAGCCCCTGGTCTAGAGCAGCCTTTCTCAATCAGGGTGCTGTTTCACCCTGGGGCACCTTCTGGCTTTTTCCTGGATGCCTCTAAGTTTTTTGCACAGTCGTGCCTTTTCGGTACATGTACAGTCCTCTGATGTTAAAGGAGAACAAAGAGGTGAGTGAAAATCACTCAGCCTCATAGTTCTAGCCGACCTGTGACAATGAAACTGTCACAAGTCGGCTCAATAGATCGGGAAGTGAGCGAACAAATACTGTCGCTCGCTCACTTCTCGATCATCTCCCTGCAGGGATTCCCCCCCCTCCCCTGTCTCATCCTCCAGCGCTGACTGGTGGATTGGACGGGGGAGGGTACAGCTGGCTCTGCCTCTAGATAAGCAGAGCCAGCTGTCACTCACGCAGCTGAGTGGATCCAGACAGTAATGTCGGGATCCGTCTCAGTATACCGCGAGCTGTAGCTCGCGGAATACTGAGCTTTGGGTGACGGGAGGACGCTGGTTTGTGTCCTCCCGTTACCCTTAGGAGAACTTTGGGGAAAAGCCCTGACCCCATAGTTCTCCTTTAAGGGGACTCCTGATGTGAAGGGGGTAACTTTAATATGAAAGGGGGGGCTCTCATGTATAGGGGGGACTTTGATGTAAAAGGGGGGCCCCTGATGTGAAAGGGTCTCCTAATGTAAAGGCGACAATAGCATACTTCCCATTGCACTCCAGTCTGGAATGTCAATAGTACGTTCAAATATTAGGAGGAGTTGGCTACCTCCAGGTACACCTGCATGTAATTTATCAACTTCATTAATATGCTCACACTTGGAGACTCGGATACATAGAGTTAGGACCACACTTTGCAGAGGTGCCTTGGCGCGGCAGTGTGGCTTCTACATATTTTTGGCCAAAGGTTTGTGCAACTAAACCTCTGATTTTAACGCATACTGTTGACAGGGCTACTTGTTTGGTTGCAGGCTGGCTGGCAGGTTGAGGCTGGGGAATTTTTGTGTTTTGTATATGTGCTGGAATGACCTGGCGCCGCGTGAATCCAAATACATAAGTAGTCACCTGCACACCAAGGTCCAATATATAGGCATGCCTTTTATTTAGATCAGGGGTAGCCAAACTTCGGCCCTCCAGCCGTGCTGAAACTACCAATTCCATCATGCATCTGTCTCTGGGTGTCATGCCTGTGGCTGAGAGAATCTTGCAATGCCTTATGGGGTTGGTAGTTTGACCACAGCTGGAGGGCCGGAGTTTGGCTACCCCTGATTTAGATGGTAACAAACATGGTATATTCCGTGAACAGCAACGTTTTGAAACCGTTAATGGTATCTTCATCAGGCAAATATAGTGACCAACTAATGTAAAGGAGGACTCCTGCTGCGAAGAGGGACTTGTAATGTAAAGGGGGGCTCTGATGTAAAATGAGGGGCTCTGAAGTAAATGAAGGAATTTGATCAATCTGAAGTTGATTGCTCAGACATTGTATGGTCAGGCTGTAACATGTACAGTGACCCTTAGATTTACTATCAACTATGTTATGCATGGGCCTATCTGAAATGATACAAATTGAATGAATTGTTTAAGTTTGCCCTTGCATTACAAAAAGTTTTGGTAAATCTCAGAAAGATTGTACAATCTAATTGTATAGTGTATGTCCAGCTTTATACACTGAAAAGTTACTTTTTTTGATGTGCAACAAGGGGTGAATACTGTCAATGTTTTCAGTACTAGCTGCCCACAAATATTGATTACATCCGGGGTGGGCAAATCCAGCCCTTGTGGAACTACAAGTCCCATGAGGCATTGCAAAACTGAGGCTGCTTGACATATAGCATTTGACGAAAACGCTAATGTTTTTCAATCCGCACGGATGCCGCTCGTTTGTGGTTATTAAATAGCCACGGACGTGCAGAAAACGCCAAATTATTGTGCTCTCTGTTTAGAGCGGCTCCGCGCGTATCCGGACAGCCGCTCAGGTGTGAATGGAGCCTAACAGTTACAGGTATGACTCGCAGAGGCATTTTGGGATTCGTAGTTAAAGCACAGCTGGAGGGCCAGCGTTGGCCACCCCTGAATTACAAAATGGGTTCATGTCCCTGTGATCACTACAACCTTTCCCTCTGCATTCTGCAATGGTGACAGTATCAATGAGTACAATGTACAGAGCATCTAGAGAAGCCCCCCACATGAGCTTAATGCCGGACCTCCTTTTACTAACCTCTCAGCTGTTTAAATTAGCATTCGAGGGCACGTGATGCTTCCACATAAGTCTCAGGATGTGACAGATAGCTGTGTCCTGTTAGATGGAACAGCATCAGCCAAGCAAGCATACTTCTTTGTGCTCAGTTCCTGGATTACCAGCTACGTCACTGTGACCCATCCCCCTCTCCTCCCTTCCTGTGTTTGACATTCTGCTATGGAGGATCTGATTAGAAGACTGCTAAAAAGGGCAGAGTCTAGTGAAGGAGAGTCTTGGCTCTGTTCTTGTCTAGATCTTCCTTCTTCTGCTTTCCAAGCCTCATCCTCAATGGCCACCATAGCAACGTCTGATGCGTCCCAGCCGGCAGCCTCTGAGCCAGCACATGGATCTTCCTCCCTGCCCTCTGGTGCATCATGAAGCAACACCAAACCTTCAGCTGTAGCCAACCTGCCCCCTCCTCACAGCAGACCACCCCACTCCAGTCTCCTAAGTAGACTTTACACTGTTAAAATTTTGTACGAACAAAGTTTTTTGGTTCGGCTTTCTGATATTGACGGTGTCAAATCGATGATCATTTTCAACTACAGCGATGAGAAAAGTCGAAGGAGCATGTTGAAAAATTTCTATTGATCAAACAAAATTCTAATAGTGAATGTGGTTTTGTTTCGGGAAACTCTATTCATTCCAAAATCAAATGTTACATCAAAACGAAAATCAAATTAATTTTCGAACTACATTCGTCAAGTTTATGATGGCATTATTGAACACTCCAACTAGATTTTTCATCTGAATGTTCATTCCAAAATCTACCAGTATATACCCCACCCTAGATAGCATCCTTCTCAAAACAGGATCAGAGGCTCCCCTGGGACTTCTCTAGTCCCCCAGCTGCAGCCCCTGGACAGCACGGATCTTCCTCAAGCTCAGACTGCTCATGGGAATACTTCTGCATTTTCAGATTCTACTCAGTTTCATAGAATGGGTGAAGTAATTGGCTCTCCTGCCAGTGTACTCTCTAATTCATCTGATTCAGCTGCTTGTGTGCGTTCATTCTGGTCTGGTTAGGGCTTGTTCACACCATCTCCAGACACGATCTGATGTGTTTCCGCAAACACCTGTATGCACAGTTTTGACATGTTTTTGATGTGCCCCGGTGTTTGTTTTTTTTCTCAATGGGTTTTTCTTGGGTTTTAAGCATGTTCCAGTGTGCTTTGGTGCGTTTGCATGCGTTTTTGTGTGTTCCAGTGCAAAAAAAATTGTGTGTGCTGTACTTTTTTTTTTTTAAACAACCTCTGGAACTGAAAGCAATGGTATGAACTAGCCTCATTTAAAACCATTGGAATAACTGTGCATGCTTTTTTGGTGCAGCTAAAAAAACCATTATGGTCTGGAGATGGGGTAAATAGGTCACATTTACCTCATGCTCTGTCTGCTGCTATGTTTCAACCCTATTGATGCTGGTGTTCTTCCTTCTCTTGAGGTTTTGCCTGTTGTGCCATCTACCTCCTCTATGGGAGACGCCTCTATATTTCAGCCTGTTTCAGGGCAACCCGCTTATGTTTCTGCCTCTATACCTAATCAATCTCCAGGTGTATCTGAATGCCATTTGAAAGAGGTTCTTCCCTGTGAACCTGCCCCCTGGGTTCCCATCTATCTTCTGTTGTGATGGATTTGATTTGAAGAGAGGAATTCCTTTCCCTTCTGCCGTCTTCAAATATTTGTCTAAGCCTGGTAAAAAAAAAATCAGATGATAATCTGAGGTTGATAGGACGAGAGCAGGGCCCCCTGGTCCTTCCACAACTGGTTACAGGCATTTTGTGTTTATGCCTCACTTTTGCTTTTCAGGTTCCGAGAATTGGCGCAGACTGCAGACTCTGGAGTCAGCTGCCCTCCTTGCCTTTGGGGATTCATTTGGGAACAATCCACTCTGCTCTGTGCAACTCGGTTTCTTCTAAAACATGGAATGATTATGTCTCTTCACAGTCCAAGTGGTATACCTTTTGCTTTTTCTGTGGCTTGTCGTATTCTTCTTTAGATGCTTATACAGCTTTGTCTTTTATTTCCTACTTACAACAGCTTTGTCTTATTGTTCCCTCCATTACCTATGTTATCTCTGGGTTTACTGTTTTTTTTTTTAAATTTCTTGGTGCACATTCCTTTTCAAAGTTTTTCCAAGTGCTCCAGGTTCAGTTTTCTGCGATGGATTGTAGGACGCCTATTACTTCTGATTTGCTTACTAGATTGGTTTTAGCACTACCTTCAGTTTGCCCTTTTTCTTTTGAGTCCCCATTGTTTCAAACAGCTTTTATTATTTGCTTCTTTGGAGCATTTACCATTCGTTCTTGGGTGGTTTTACATGCCCTCTTTAGAGCCCATTCATACCAGGGCGGTTGTGGATCAGCGCGGTTAGCGCGCTGATTTCAAAAGGGAGGTTTTGGGAGGCTCCATTGAAAGCTGTATGGAAACCACACTGATCAGTGCAGGGAGCAGTTCGGGCGGGGGCGGTTCGGGTCGCGCTGAACCGCACAGTCGCATGAACGGTCCCCGTAGCAATATATGGGATCGTTCATGTCCGCGGATCTGCACGGCCAAATCCGGCCTGGGGCCTAATTTGTCCTGTTACTGTGGTTCATGCTGATTTGTCTTTTGCCTTTATCTCTGGGTTCTTTTTTTTCCCCATGCTGATTTTTCCGCTCTTACTGCTTTTCAGTTTTGTGCATTCTACTCCAGGGCTCTTGATTCTTTAGGCCTTTCTAAATTTTGCTTTTCCTCTCATTCCTTTAGAGTGGGTGCTGCGATTGAGGCAATTACTTCTGACCTTTTGGCAGAATCTATTCAAAGGATTGGTAGGTGGGACAGTAATACAGTAGATATAGGTTATATATTTACTCTTCTACCCCCTAACTCCCGAAATATACATTTTCTAAAGCCAGAGACCTAAGAGAATATAATTGCAGCAGTTGCAATTGTGATGTCACACAATATTAGCGCAACAGTTTATCAAACATGAATTTTCAGTAAAAATGCATTCAAATTAATGTTAGCGCACACACTAACCAGTTTTTGGGGTAAAATATTAAGAAAATTAGGTCATGTCAAGTAAATAGATAAGGAACATGTCAAACCTCAAAATTGCATGCTGCAGGACTTGTGGAAGGGATTGTGTCTTATCAGAAAAGTCCAAATCCGATCTCTTCACACACATCTTTATGACGACATGTCCACTAACAACCGTAGATTTAAAAGCGTCCTAATGACAATAACAATAGCTATCTGCAATGTTCATCGATGAACATACATCAGCACATTCCCTACAATGTCTGAAAATACCAAGAACCAAAAAAGGCTCTACAAAAAAAATAATTTGACGATACCTTCAATAGCAACCATTCAATACCCCTCCCCCTTAGTGTCATCCTACAACCTTCTGGAACTTTTACTAAAGGAAATGTCAAAGTACACTTTTCCCACTGAGGGGATTATAAACACATCGGAGGTTCCAGGTTCAGACCCCTTTTACTAGCATAATTACCCCAAAAGGAAGGCAGAACAAGCTCCAATATCAACAGTACATACCTATCATTAAAGGAGAACTATGGGGGTTAAGGCTTTTCCCCATAGTTCTCCTTAGGGTAACAGGAGGACACAAACTAGCGTCCTCCAGTCACCCTAGGCTCAGTATACCGCGGGCTACAGCTCGCGGTATACTGAGACCCAACAGTTGAAGACGCCGCAGCTGAAGCGGATCCCGACAATTATGTCTGGATACGCCCAGCTGCGTGAGTGACAGCTGGCTCTGCCTATCTAGAGGCAGAGCTAGCTGTCCCCGCCCCCTCCCCGTCCGATCCGCCAGTCAGCGCTGGAGGATCGGAGCGGGGAGGGGGGAATCCAGCCCCTCCCCTGTCACGGCAGAGAGCTGTGACAGGATCGAGAGGTGAGCGAACGCCGGTATGTGTTCGCTCACCTCCCGATCTACTGAGCCGACCTGTGACAGTTTCATTGTCACATGTCGGCTAGAACTATGAGGTGAGTGATAAGCACTCACCACATAGTTCTCCTTTAACATACCTGTTATTAACATCACTAGAGCATGTTCAACTATATGGTTACTATTGAAGATATCGTCACAAAGATTTGTTTGAAGATACCTAATTTTAGACTATTTTCAGACATTGCAAGGGAGTGCGCTGATGTAAGTTCATTGTTATTCCATTATTATATGATCACTTTGAAATATATGGCTTATATTGGAGATAACATCATAAAGATGCATATGAAGACTTCGGTTTTGCATTTTTCTGAAAAGACACATGATTACACCGATGTGTGCACATTATTGGACAGTTTGACTCACCTTTGCGGGTTTGTTTTTGCATATGTAACTTTTATTGCTGCTACAAACAGTAATTGTCCATTAATGTGCAATCAGAAAGTTAAAAACATCTTTATATCTCTACTAGCAACCATACAGTGAAAATGCCCTAGTAACAGTAATACTATCTAAAATGGGTCACCATATCAGTGTAGTCTGTCACACTCACACAATAAATTGTGCCACAAACAAAGTCACAATTAAAGAAGTCTGGGCAACATTTGATTAACCCTTGCAGTAGGGCTACCCAGGGGCATCCCCATAATGAGGCAGCCTTCGGAAGTAGTCTCAGGCAGCATCTCATTGGGGGGAGGGATAGTAGCTGCCGACTAACACCATCCCAACCCTTAACCTCAGCCAGCTGCTGCCTCCTGCCCGGACCACATTAACCCACCACTTCCCCCTTTTCCTGGCCGCCTCAGGCAGTGATTAAGGTAGAGATGGTCCTGGGGTTACCCGACACTGCAAGGGTTACCTACACGTTTTTGTCACCCAAACCGCTGAGCCGGCTCCCTGCTTCTCCGGTCTCTGAAGCCTGTCTCTTCCTACGCAGCAGCATTAGAAGGGTTCCTCAGCGTCCTCATGTCTATACGCTGTGTATAGAAAGTGATGAATTACAGAACCTTAGACCGCAGAGGAGGAGAGAGGCTGGAAGGACCGGTCTAAGAGCAAGCCGGTTCAGATGAGTGCAACCTTTTATTTTCCTCCCTACACACAAAGGAGCAGTTAACCCTTGCAGTGCAGGGGTAGCCCCACTGCAAGGGTTAAGAAACGTTTTGCCCAGAATTCTTCCTTAAGAAGCTTAGTTAGTAAAACAGACCTCTCTCAGATTGGATCAGAGGTGCTGGGCGGCATCAGGGATGGAGCTACCAAGCTGCTCTCCATGTGAGTGAGTCTCCCCCCTCCAGCAGCCTGGTGTGATGACACTGCACACAGGGAGGGGAGAGGGGTCCTGTACGGGCTGTATTGTACGTGATATCTCATACACACAGAGCAAGCACAATACATATGCTGTGTGCGTGGGACCCGTAAATCCAGAACAGTTGGCAACTATGCATGTGTTTAATTTAGCCCAGTACACGATGCTGATATAGAAGTTTTCTGTGTGGCCAGCACATAGACATAGCTGAGATCCCTGCATGCTAGGTTAGACTTGGACACATAGGGTGCACGGGGTTTTACTTTGCTAAGCCGCAGTCTCACAGTGTGTGACGTCATCATCCAGAGACGGTCTTGCTGGAAAGGCCCGGAAAGAGGTGAGGAGGCGAAAAAGCATGCAGCTTTGATCGTATGAACTGTAGACACTCGGTGCGGTGTGTCTGCTGGTTGTGTGAAGAGGATGTGTTAGTAGTTGGTGTTTATATAGCACAAAAAGGGCTCAGCTGGGTGCATTGTGAAGAAATCGTACAGGGAGCAGTCCTGCATGTCAGCAGAGGGCGGGGAGGGAGCCCAGGACTGAAGGCAGGGTCAGTCCTGCCAGAGATCGTATCAATCAGCAGATCGGTCTGGATGCGGGTTTTCAATCTGCTTTTATAGAGACAGTTAACCCCTTGTTTGCAACGGTCTACTTTGAAAAGAAAGCAATTGTTTACAGAAGTTAAATCCCAGAATATGCTGGATTCCACTGCTAGCTCTCTTCTGAAAAAGCCAGTTACTTGAAATTCTCAGGCTGTACGTCTATATAATAATACTTTCCGAGCTACAAGAACACGATGAGCATGCAGCAAGTGAAGTTGGAGCTTCTCTAATTGTTTTACATCAGTGACTGCAGTCAAAGTTGTCAGCATGACAGCTACAGCTGCTAGCATAATCAAAAGTACATTGGTGACCAGAAGCTTCTCTGCTGCAGATGTATAAAGCTGAAGGTGACAAACTTTGAGTCAGTGCCCCTTCATTCTACAAAATCTGGGCAGTGACTGCAGCCAATCAGCTGCAATCAATGTTTGGGTATTCTGACAGTGGCACACCCGGCAGAATAATCACGAGGTACAGCTCGCGGTATACTGAGACCGCTGCACCCGGGACGGATCCCGAGATCCAGCCAGCTGCGTGAATGACTGCTGGCTCTGCCTATCTAGAGGCAGAGCCAGCGGTTCCCGAAGCTTGGCCCAGTGGGAGATTCCTCCATCCACACAGTTTAGCGTAGATGGAGGAATCTGTTTCACTTTTTCCATCTGACCAGAGAAAATCAACAGATAATCTAGAGGTGTATGGCCAGCTTTAGACACCTTTGCACCTCAAGCAGCGCAGTAATGAGGCCATCTATCTGTTCTCTGCTGTGAAAATGCTCCTTGCCTGCGCACCTTATTGGCTCCTAGTGATGCTCGTCCCTCTAAGGCTAGCCATAGACCTATCAAATTTTTTCGTTCAACCCGTGGGCTGAAAGAAAAAATTGACCCGCTCAATCAGCGCAAACAGTGTGTCGATTGAGGAATCCTGCTGTTTACATTGTATTCTTACAGGTGCTGCTGGCACCTGTCAGAATACCCGATCAGAGCGGGCAGCTCACTGGCTGCCAGCTCTGATCGATCAAACATTTTCCAGCCGGCTCCTTCGATCAGCCGAGGAATGCCAGCTGAAAGGGGGTCGACAGCCCCACACACTGAATTTCAGTCGGTACAATAAATAACGGCCTAAATTCGACCAGTGTATGGGCACCTTTCCAGTCAGCTATCTGCTGTACATTCCAGGAAGAACATACAAAGTTGAATTGAAGCTCTTGTACTAGTCGCATTTAAAGGCTAATATTACCTTTTGCGTTAAATAGGCGCTGCAGACAAGACTTCCAAGTAGATTAAAGCTGGCTATACACTGTTCTAATTTTTTCATTCAGCCCGCGGGATTGAGTACGAGCTTTGATTGAGGAATCCCCGCTTTTTCGTTTATATTCTGGCAGCTGTCGGAATACCCGAACAATAAGCCAATGAGCTGCCGGCTCTGCTCATTTGTAGATTTTCTGACCAGCTACTTCGATCAGCTGACCGAGGGATGCCCACTGAAAGGGTGCTGACAGCGGCACCCACTGTGTGAGTTTTTGCAGAATGAGAATCCTTGAATGCAGGGGTGGACAAATTATTATGGAGTTTGGGAGCTAGTCTCTCCAATTAAGGAGCTGGACAGATTTTTGTTAGGAGTCAGCTCCATTGACCACAACTACAGAGAACCTCAAAAGCTAGGCACCAGATGTAATTTTTATTTTGTCCAGCCCTACCTTAAAGAAGAACTGAGGGCAGACATTTTTTTAACCCTTGCAGTGCAACGACCCCTTCAGTGTAAGGGTTAAGTGCCTAGGGTTAAGAAAAAAAAAAAGTTATACTTACCCAATCCTGTCCCATGGCTCCCTCCTGCCTGTCTCCTTTTTTGCTGCAGCGATGATATGTCCCTCAGCGTCTTCACGTCCTGTGCACTGTATTGGACATTATGACTTGAGAATTCCTAAACCACTGCAGAGGAGGGGGAGATACGTTCCAAGGAGGGGCTGGTTTGAGAGCCGGCTAGGCTCTGCTCCGAGAATCAGGTAAGTATAACTTTTTTTTTTTATCTTAGGCAAAAACAAGCAGTTAACCCTTGCATTGTGGGGGTAGCCCCACTGCAAGGTTTCAAGTGACATTAAGGGCCATGCCAATGGCAGTTACAGACAATGTAATTGGAGAATAGTTATTTTTTAGTTCCATTAAATTGAGCAAAGCATTTTGTTGGCTTAGTGCAAATACTGTATGTGAAGATGTTAGTGAAATTAAAAGTAAACCTGTTATGGTCTTCGCTTTTAGATTTCCTGCTGCTGTGGAAAAAATCAGTTTGCAGACAAGTTACGATTGATACATGTAAGTTCTGATTGTGGCTTCAAATGAACTTGATGCATCTATCTTGTCATCTACAGACTTCTATCTTCATCTAAGACTTCTCAAGTGGTTTTATCCAGGAGATATTTTTTTTTTTGTTTGTTTCTTTTCAATACATTTTTATTGAAACACTTCTATTACATGACAGGGCGCTCCTAAACTTGTATTGTGACTGTACTGTGCCCTTCATATTGTACAGCTCTGCGTTGGTGCTATATAAATCCTGTATAATAATAATTACTCATACAAAATAGCAGTGGTTATCAAACATATTTGCATTTTATATAGGAGTTTTTATATTGATTGCTCAGATAAAGTATGGTCATTTGGTATTTACCAAGACATGCTAGATGTGGCCTAAGGGCTCATGTACACAGGCGTAATTAAAGTAGTATTAAACTCCTCTCAAACTTTTCAATAATGAATCTAGGGCTGCAACAACTAATCGACATAATCGATTATAATCGATGATTGAAAAAGTTGTCAACTTTTTCAATCATCGATTAATCGGCTTTTGATTGGTTGGCCCTGTTCACGGCTCCCCATACGCTGCGCGCCACACCTCCTCCCCCACCTTGTGCTCGCCGCTGCCAGACCCGCCCGGCCGCATCCACGCTCCACACGCCGAACCTCCTCCCCGCCTTGCCCGCCCACATCCACGATCGGCACAAGGACGCGGGGAGAAGTAAGGAGGAGCAGGTGTGGGAGGGTGGATGACCGTCACCGATAGGTCCGATCTCAGAAACAAGTTGCTGGAAGACTGCTGAGGTAAGCCTACACTTTCCCACACATGGTGCTCTATAATGTATTGCTGGGATTTGTATTCCTCTATAGCTGATGGTACATTGCGCTGTATATTATGCTCTCGGTATACTGAGACGCCGCAGCTGAAGCGGATCCAGACAATTGTGCCGGGATCCGCCCAGCTGCGTGACTGACAGATGGCTCTGCCTATCTAGAGGCAGAGCCAGCTGTACCCGCCCCCTCCCCCGTCCGTTCCGCCAGTCAGCGCTGGCGGAGCGGGGAGGGGGGAATCCAGCCCCTCCCCTGTCACGGCAGAGAGCCGTGACAGGATCGAGAGGTGAGCGAACGCTGGTATGTGTTCGCTCACCTCCCGATCTACTGAGCCGACCTGTGACAGTCTCATTGTCACAGGTCGGCTAGAACTATGAGGTGAGTGAAAAGCACTCACCTCATAGTTCTCCTTTAAGGAGCAGCCTTCATTGTAAGTGATTTCATCAGCATTTGAAATAGCCTAAAATCCTTTTGACTTTATTATCACTTTAAAATACAGATATCTACACTGGATCTTGCTGCCAGAAGATGGCAGAAACATCCAATGTAAAAAAAAAAGTGATGTAACAGAATTTAAGTTACTTTTATGTAAATGCATATACATCCATACAACATACAGAGAAGCGGTAAGATTTGCTGGTAACGTGAGGACATCATATGTAAATAGAGTTAAGGTATATGTGAAGTCGGCTAACAGAACTCGCACTATGGCACGGAATCAAATAATACAGCATTATTATAAAATAGGCACCTGCTAACTTTATTTCTGCAGCAGCTGTTCTTGCCTATTCTCGAGTGTAGGCGGCATGGCTGCATTGTTAGAGGTTGGGCATTATGCATAGGGCGGTGGGCAAATATATTAGCCATTTTTGTTACATTACATTTTTACTGCTTTGGGGAGTCTCTAACTGCTTTATTGGCAACTCAGGTGCAAGTACTTGCAACATTGCTGTGACTGTGGATTATAGGTCCTTTGGGTAGGCATAGAAGTTGCAAATTTGGCATTTTGTCCCAGATTTCAACATCCTCAAGTTTCATTAGTAGTGCTGCATTTACGTTTTTAAGGCATTCAATTTCTTCTTCATTCTGCTAAGCTTTCAAATCTCTTTAAGTTTCTTGAACTCTTGTCCAGATTTCTCTGTAGTATGTCTTCAAACCTCTGCAGAAGCTCATGGGTTGCTACTAGGGGATACTAGTGGCCTGGTGTCCACACGAAACCACCAGCAAGTCATCTGAGTCCTGTCTCTCTGTGCCCACATTGGTAAAGGTGACCTTTGCTTTTTTAGTTTCTGCACAGTTCAAGGTCTTTTGAACAGATTTTGAGCCGAGTTTTCCTCTCTTGGCATCAGCATACCAAGACATTTTGGACAATTTAATGTTCCCAACTTTGTGGGGACAGTTTGGGGATGGCCCCTTCCTGTTCCAATATGACTGAGCACCAGTGCAGAAAACAAGGTCCATAAAGACATGGATGAGCGAGTTTGGGGTGGAGGAACTTGACAGGCCTGCAATGAGTCCTGACCTCTACCCGATAGAAGACCTTTGGGATGAATTAGAGCAGAGACTGCGAGCCAGGCCTTCTCGTCCAACATCAGTATCTGACCTCACAAATGCGCTTCTGGAAGAATGGTCAAACATTCCCATAGACACACTCCTAGACCTTGTGGACGCCTTCCCAGAAGGGTTGAAGCTGTTATAGCGGCAAAGGGTGGGACAACTCAATACTGAACCCTACGGACTAAGACTGGAGTGCCATTAAAGTTCATGTGCGTGTAAAGACAAGCGTCCCAATACTTTTGGCAATATAGAGTATATATAATTACATACACATGTTTAGCTATATTTGCAAGTTGTATACGTTTATGTATTCATAAAAATACAGAAAGAGAGACGAGAGGTATATCTTTGCCGCAAGATGTAAATACAAAATGGAGGCTGGGTCGGTATATATGCATCTTTTGAAGGGGTAGGGTAGTATTGCTTAGGTCAGCTTAAAGGAGCCACAAGGGTAAGTGTACTTAGCCTTAAAATAAAGAACTCACGTTGACCTTTAAAAAAAATTTGTTTAGTAAAAATTTGAGTAGAAAATGCTAGTAGAAATTTCAAATCACACTTCAGATTGTTCAGTGCTGTCGGCACATTTACTCATAAACAGTTTACGCTACCTGTTTATAAAAGTATAAACAAAGACTGTAAAAGTCTCCATACATTTTACGAAATAGGAAAAAAAAATCTCTGTGTGTCACCTGTTTTTAATATACATGTAGTATTGCTCTTAGCCATGTTTGTGCTGAATGTTAAACATGTTAAGCCCATAGTCTGTAGATGAGCTGTAGCCCACCCAATTCTAAGGCATTCATCTGTGACCATCCAAAGTCTTAGGCGATTTTAGAATTTCACCATGTAGTGTTGTGTTTATATGAGCTGTGAAACTTGACTTAAACACAAGCCTTCAAAATGTCAGAGACTAATTTTTGTTGTGAAACTGGATCGTTAGAGCGATATGATGTTTCAGGCAAGGAAGTTACAGCCATTTGTGTTCAGAGACAGATTGGCTTCTGTTTGTTTCATATCCAACCACTTCTCTTTTCTGTGGGGATCTTGGATGTTGACCAGTCAGTAAAGAAAGGCTACAAAGTAATGATCTGCTGACTACCCGTGGCTAATATTAAACTCGGGGTTCATGAAAGGCGATCCTATATGTGTTACAAACCCCTAAAGGAGAACTATGGGGGCAGTACTTTTCCCCATAGTTCTCCTAATGGTCACGGGAGGACACAAACTAGTGTCCTGCTGTCACCAAAAGCTCAGTATACCGCCAGCTACAGCTCATGGTATACTGAGACGCCGCAGCCGGGACGGATCCCAACATTACTGTTGAGATCCACCCAGCTGCGTGATTGACAGCTGGCTCTGCCTATGTAGAGGCAGAGCCAGCTGTACCCTCCCCCGTCCGTTCCGCCAGTTAGCGCTGGAGGATCGGACAGGGAAGAGGGGGAATCGGTGCAGGGAGCCATGAGTGACAGTCACTCTCTGCAGGGACAGGATCGAGAAATGAGCGAGTGACGGTATCTGTTCGCTCACTTCCCGATCTATTGAGCCGACCTTCGTGATCGTTTCATTGTCACACGTCGACTCGAACTATGAGGCTGAGTAATTTTCACTTGCCTCATAGTTCTCCTTTAAAAAGAAATGCAAATATGTATAGATGTTTAATCCTAATACAATGTCAGCATTAGAGAGGTATGCTGTGGAGAAAGTCCTAAAGGAAAAAAAAAACCTGCTGATTGCCTAATTAATAATTTCCGTAACGTGCAAATCCAGATGTGATATCCTTTTTAACTGCATTGTTAAAGCATTCTTGGCTGCCAGTGACCCATCATGACAGAGGAAGAGGAGTACTGTCTTGAGTTACCCATTAACATTAACTGATTATTAGCAAGGCATGAGAACAGTGCTCATAACAGTAGCAACAGAACTGTGACCTCCTGATTCTATGCTACAGCATACTTATCCTGTGTTTGCTTTCCCTTGCCTGCATTTGACTGACCCAGCTTGAAACCACATTTACTTCTTTCTGTTCTTTACAGCAGTCGTTCGGTCGTTTGAAATGTATAATGTTCAGTTGTGTTGAGGGGGTGTTTATGGTTAGTGACGGATCAGTTAACAACAGTCATTTGGTCTTGCTTGATGTGCATAATGTTCAGTTCCGGTTAGTGATTGATCTCTAAAAGAAAAAATGGGAAACCATGTTGTGATCATTGGTAACTTGACTGGCAGCTGTCATAGAGTAAAGTCCATACTCCCCACTAGAGAGTTCTAGCTCTAATTCAGTAGAGGGTATGTTGGATCTCTGCTTCCCTAGAAAGTAAGGGACCTTCTCTGCAGCATGCTGGCAGGGGTCAGGCTTCTATACTCAGGCTGTGTGTTTTCTAAAGAAAATCAACTATAAGATTTTTAGCACCTTTTTTGTTTTGTTGCATCTGAAGGTATTAAGCTGATTTAAATTGAAAGTTCAGTTGGGCTTTAATGCCAAACAAACTTTGTTTTTATAGTTTAGAGTAGACTTTATAAAAGTTTTTTGCAGTTTATGTTTTAGTCATTCTTCTTGCCCATCAGCGGGGACATAGGCTACCTGGCTGCTAGAATTATAAACATTGTAACTGTAATCTGATTTATTTTAATTT